GCCATTTGCAGCAACATGGGTGCTCCTAGAGAATATCATTCTAAGTGAAGTAAGCCAGAAAGAGAAAAAAAAATACCATATGAGATCGCTCATATGTGGAATCTAAAAAACAAAAACAAACAAACAAACAAAAACAAAGCATAAATACAGGACAGAAATAGACTCATGGACAGAGAATACAGACTTGTGGTGACCGGGGTAGGGGGCGGGGTAGAGGGTGGGAAGGGGTAGACAGGGGTTTCAAAATTGTAGAATAGATAAACAAGATTACACTGTATAGCACAGGGAAATATACACAAAATGTTATGATAAATCACAGAGAAAAAAATGTGAAAAAGAAAAAAAAAGAGAAAGCACGATTATGTTAAAATTCAATTGAAAAGTATAAATTTAAACTCATGGTTTAATATAAAAAAAAAAAGAAAGAAATGTGTGGCTCCCCGAAGAAGGGTGCCTCCCATCACCCGAGGTCCAGAAGCACTGTTCTGTAAAGGCGCAAGCTCAAGGATGGCTCTTTTATGATTATTAATTTAGGGGTTTCAAACCTCTGGACAATCAGAGGGTAAGGCAGAGAACGGGGAAGGAAACAGAGGTAAGCAACCACAATGGGCTCTGACAAAACGCTCTCTTTTCGAGCTGAAAGTGGAGAATTCGTTGAGGCCTTATTGGGCAGGAAGGGGCCAGGGAGTTCCTCCTCTTCAACTGGGCATCAGATTTACCCCTCCGGAAAATCTTCCTGGGGGAGGTGAATGGATGTTCAGATTCAGGCTTTGTGAATAATATCTCTGTTTTTGCTGAGAGGACTCGGGGCTCAGACAAGTTAAGTAATTTGCCTAAGGTCACACTGCAACTGAGTGGCCAAGGGAACAGCCAGCCTTAACCACTGGAGAAGACCAAAAGTACTGAAAAACTAAAGCTCATCCAGTTTAGTGGGTCTCAGACTTTACCCAAAGAACGTGTGAAAACTAAACTCCTTGGGTGGGTTTTAGTAATTTTGCTTTTTAACAAAATACCTCTGGAGATTCTGATGCAGGGGAAGGGGTAAAGTTGGAAGTGGTAAAGCCCCAGACTCTGGAGATCCACCAACTGGATTTAATGTCCTGTAATACTATTTACTGGCTGTTTGTGTATTTTTCTTATCTGTAAAAGTGGTGATATACACGTGAAACTACCACAATATTGTAAATCAGCTATACTCCAATTTTTAAAAATGGTGATATTAATACCACGGGTTGTTGTAAGAAGTTCTTGAGTTCGATATAATATATTCAATATGATAAAATAATAGTAAACAACAAAATAATTTAATGTATTTATTATAATATTGATATAATTAACATAAAATGTAATATATTTAATGAATACATCAATTCTATTTTAAAACTATATGTTATATTTATTTATTATAATAAATATATAAATTATTTAATAATAAAGAATCTAGTGCTAGTCATTGGTAAGCACTACTTAAGTGTTAACATTTTTACCCCCTGTGATGGGGAGCTTGCTACCTCCCAAGGCAGCTCATGCCATCTTTGGTCGCCTCAGGCTGTGACTCTGGCCACAGTGGTGAAGCAGGTTACAGTAGCCTCTTTAGTTGGATCTCTATACCCCCATGCTCAGAGTTGACCGGAAAATTCTATTTGGCTTTCTCAGATATAAACCCCCAAAGGCTGACAGCACACCTCCCTAGCCACGAGGGGGAGCCACACATGGTTGCAGGCACTGCCAGGGTGTGCAGCCTGGGTTCCAATCTTGATTCTCCAGTGGCTTCTTTGGTGTTCTTTGGCAAAGTGCTTTCTCTCTGGGGCTTCAATTTCTATTAAGTAGGGATTTGAGGTGGGGTGGGTACATCTCCTGACCATCAGCTAGTTCTACCATTGGTGGTGAAAAGGTATTGACCACTGACCCTTCAGGGCTCTAGACCCTAGAGCAGGAAGCAGGGATTACCCAGATGCCCACCCCCACAGCCCACCAACTCAAATCTTCATAGTATTCTTGTTTTTCTTTTCTGTTGCTCTGTGCACGTGGTAGAATTCAAACCCCACGGAATTAGGAGAGTAGGAGGGGCTTGAAGTAGAAGCTGGAGAAAGGAAATCTGGCCCCTTGCCCACCCCAAAGCCCCCAACTGACTTGTCCCTCCCAGGTCCTTTTGTTCCTCCTTAATCAGCAGATCTTTCCTCTCAGCTTCCAGGCTCTTGCCTTCCAGACCTGCTGCCCCTCTCAGGCCCCAAGAGCCTCAAAACGTTGTTATACCCAGTTCTGAGTTTTAGGGGGGATGTCTCTTGGAACTAAGGACATTTCAGTATCTTCTTCATTGAACCTGTTTCTATTGGGAATCTCTGGTGTGCCAGATGCTGTGAGAGGCCCTAGGTGATAAGGAAGTAATTTAAATTGCTCTCGGGATATTCAACAGCTGGGGGGTGGGGGGCGGCGGACAAACAGTACATAAATAAACAAAGCGATTTCAGCTACTATAGTGATCAGAACTTTAAAGAGAATAAAACAGGGTGAGGTGACAGAACATGAAGTGGGGCTACTTTAGACAAAGTAGAAAGGTCTCTCTCTGGAGGTAATATTTGAGCTGAGACTCAGGTAGTAAGTGAAAGAAGTAACAAGTACAAAGGCCACCAAAGAAACAAGCCCAGTGGGGTGAGATTTCAAATTCCAAGTTCCCTGGTCTTCATAAAATTAGAGAAAGGTGTCTGGGAGGATCCCAGAGACTTTTGGGAGGAGGGGGCCTTCAGTTTTATCCCATAATGTGGGTGAGTGGACGGAGGCCCTCTAGTGGTGACAAGAGTTAAATTTCACATAGCTGACCTGGAATGCCGCATGTTTGCGAGTTGACTCCGGGCTAATTATGAGTTTCACTCATTCCCGTCTCTCCTACACTTATTCATTCAACAGATATTTATCGAGCAATGTGCCAAGCGATACTGTAGATGCTGGGGGTAGAGTTGTGAAACTGACAGTGAAGGTCCCTGCCCTCCTGGAGCTGATTTCCTAGCCCAATACTCTACCCCCTCGTTTCACCTCTGCCCTCTAATCTTCTGCAGCTAAATCGGCCTCCTAATGCTCCAACTGGCAGGATATTGCTGCTTCAGGATTTTCACATATGCTGTTCTCTTCCGCCGCTGGAGAGCAGATCCTGGCTCTTTGTATTGCTAGTTCAGGTCTCAACCCAAAAAATGACCAACTAAGAGAGACATGAACTTATGTTGTTTTCTGAGTGCCTATTCTCTTCACTCAAATATAAGATTCCATGAAAGTTAACATTTTCTTGGAATCCCTCAGCCTAGCGCTTAATAGGTGCGCAGCAAACTTACTGGATGAATGTATTACCTAGCACCCCTGCTTATGTATCACATGATGCTAGTGAATTGTAAGTGAATGAATTGGACAAAACAGTTCAAAAATCCCTACCCTTAAAGAAAAAAGAAAAAAAAAAAAACCCCAAAACCCTGCCCAGAGCATTCTCATATTAAAATTGCAGCCCCTGCACTACCCGTGCCCCCTTTCCCTGCTTTATTTTTTTTCCTATACATTTATCACCTTCTAAGCTATTATATTACTCCTTGCTGTTCGCGTGTCTTCCCCACTAGAAAGTAAGCTCCAAGAGGGCAAGGGATTTTGTCCACCTTGTTAACCGCCCTACCCTCAGTGCTTAGAACAGTATTGGCACCCAATAGGTGTTCAATAAATACAGAAAGAATTAATTCTAGATCACAGTCCGCTCTTTTGCTGCAGACCTTGAGCCACCTAGTTCCAAGGGGAAAACGGGCCTCAGGAGGCGCTTAGAGGTGACCTCGGGTGGCCCGACCCAGGAGTCCCAGCTCTGGGAGAAGGGCCATCCGAGCAGCTGGGGAAATGCGAGGCGCCGGCAGCAGGAGAGCGGAGAGGCGGGGCAGCTGGGCCGCCAGGAAGAGGCGCGGGCGCTGGCAACTCCCGGCATGGGACTGTGGGCGGTGCTGTCCGGTGAGATGAGTCACATGACTCGCTTTTAGCCCCGCCCACCCCATCTTGGGGGTGGGCGGGGACTCATGCAAACCAGCCTGGGGCAGCGGCCAATCGCAGCGCGCGCCGGGGGTCCGGGCCCGGGGATCCGGTACGCTGGCTGGGGCGCAGGCTCTCGTCTTTGCCGCCTCTAGCTTTTGCGAGTATCGCGGCGGGCCTGCGAGCCGGGGCTGCAGTTGATTCCTCGGCCTCCTCGTCCTCGGCGGCCGGCCAGGTCAGGCCAGACCCGCGCGCGGTGGGCAGCTGGTGGCTGCCTCAGGCGGAGACGGAGGTGCGGCGCGGGGTGGGGGCCGCCGCCGCCTTCGCAGGCGTCCGGGCCGGCCCGCGCCTTTGCAGCGTGCTCCATGCATCCGGAGCCCGCCCCGCCCCCGAGCAGCAGCAACCCCGAGCTTCCCCTCAGCGGCGGCAGCACCACCAGCGGCAGCCGCCGGAGCCGCCGCCGCAGCGGGGACGCGGAGCCCCCGGGGTCGCCACCCGCGCCACCCGCCGTCACCTACCCGGACTGGATCGGTCAGAGTTACTCCGAGGTGATGAGCCTCAACGAGCACTCGATGCAGGCGTTGTCTTGGCGCAAGCTCTACTTGAGCCGCGCCAAGCTCAAAGCTTCCAGCCGGACCTCGGCTCTGCTCTCCGGCTTCGCTATGGTGAGCTCGGGCCGCCCTGCCCTGCCCCCTCTCATGTCCTGGCCGCTGCCGCCGCAGCCCCGACAGAGCCCCCAGGGGCGAGGGCTAAGTGGCCTGGGGGTGAAGGGAAGAGCTGGAAGAAAGCTGTCGTATGCTGGAGGGGGGTAGAGGTGCTTGACCTGAGGCGAGGTGGGCGACTAGCCATACCCGATGTAGGAGATTGGGTGTCATATAAATGTCCAGGGTTGGGGGGCTCAGGTGCCTTCAAATGTGCAAGCTTGATGCAGCAAAGAGGGCGAAACAGCAGGATCCTCGAAGCAGATCTGTAAGAAGACAGCCCGACGTACGTTCAGAGGGAAAGACAAGTAGTCTGTTCTCTTTAGGAGCAGGTGTCAGGAGGTTGGGAGGAGGACCCTTGAGCCATCTCTCTTGTGCCCTCACACTTGAGGCCAGAAGGCATTGGCCAGGCTCTCTTATTACCTAGTAGGGGGATTTCCTGACACCCTTTCCCCTCCCCCATTTTCCAAGCGCCTCAGCCTGGGGGTTTGATAACCACTCCCCACTCTTTCTTCTCCAGAAACTTGCCACTGAGTCACTGGGTGTGGGGGAGGAGGGTGGGACATGTTCCCGTTGAATGGGCTCTTTCTTGATGTAGGGGTAGGTTTAGTTTCCTCTCCCGTTGGGGGCTGGGTTGGCAGGAGAACAAGCCTCATAGGGATGAGTAGGTGAGGCTGCAGGTTTGCCTGAGACGTAGCCGGGAGGATGCCTTCAGGCTGGGCATCTTGGAGTCTTCCAGAGCCAGGAGCTACAGAACAATTCATGATTACCACTGTCAGTGACATCAGCCTGTGTGAATGGGGTCTGCCCCCTCCCAAGGTATCTAGAGCTCCCGGCCAGCGAGTGAGCTAAGTGCTTGGCCTTGAGGGAGGGAGTGACTACACCCTTCCCTTTTGTTTTCTTGAGAAGGGAGTTTGTCTGATCCTCTCCCTGTGCTCCACAAACAAGCAGGAGATGCATGGGAGCAAGAGCTTGTTAGAAGCCCTAAGCAGGCCTGAGAGCACACCCGGCTGCTGTGCAAAGGCCAGGGGTTGATGGGGGAAGAGCCCTCCCAGCTCTGCTGCCTGTGTGAGCTCAGACAAATCCCTCTGTGGGCCTGATTTCTGAATTGGTAAATGAAATCTGCTATTCATAAGTTTCTCTGATTTTAAGGATTTAATTGAAGGAGTACTTGGAAGGAGATGAAATAATGTGTGTGAAAGAAGTGGCACTCTAGTTTTTAGTTTGGGTCTGTTCGGTCAGTACCATATGCTAGGAATAGGTGACATTTACCAAGCACCCACTAAGAGCTGGGCACCATGTGAGTTTCCTAACTCCAACACTAAGTCCTGAACCACCCTTCGGGGTGGTTTTGTCATGGGACTTTCCCAAAGCCACACAGCTCACCTGCTGGAGCAGGATTTCAGCCTGGGTCTGCTGGCCTCCAGAACTCTCTTGGGCGCTTGTGCTGTGTGTGGTGTCTGGAGTGCTGATCAGTGTCCAGCCAGGGACATGTTAGGACCAAGCCTTTCAGGGGATGAGAAGAACAGGAGAAAGGCTACTTTTAAACAAAATAAAACGTTAGTTAGGCGGAAAGGAGTGACACCAGTGGCTATCGGCTCTTCATGGCAGTGTGTGGGTGGGATGCCTGCTCCTCTTTTTCTTGGGGTCATAAATTCATCGCTGCCCAGGCCCCTTGCCACTCCAGGAGAAACGAGGAGCCGATGGGTGACGCTTTCCTGCCTTCTCGAGTCCTCTCTTAGAAGCCAGGCCTTCTAATCAAATGTCACCTCCCTCTTCCTCTTGCTAAAAACAGTGTGGGGAAGTCAGGCAGCAGGGGCAGACAGGCAGTTGGTGGGCCTTGGCTCACCCCGACTGCCTCTTGAGGACCTTTATTTTACCCAGTCAGGGTGAGGAAGGCTTCTTGGCTCCACTGGTTGAAATCCCCAAAGTTCTGCCGACAGGGAAGGGCTGAACCCCATGACAGCCTGTGTTCTGGGGAGGCAGTTACAAGAGAGTAACTGTGAGTGTGGAGATCTGTGGGGATGATGGGTTAGGGTGGGGAGAGGGAGGGGCTCAGCAGGGTGGGTCTGCCCCTGCCCCACCCCCACCACCGATGTCCAGCCTTGTGAATGAGTCTCGGAGAAGAAGGGGTGCTACACAGCCCAGCGCCATGGAAACAGAGTGAGCAAGTTTCCTGGACTAATCTCCCTTGGCCTGTGATTCAGCACAACCAACTTCCTGCCCCCAGAGGGCTTCCTTCTTAGAAACCTGGAAACCCAGAAGAACTGAGATGATGTGACTTTTGATCTCCAGGGGTGGGAGAGCTGGTGAGGATGCCAGGCTCACCTGCTCACAAGATGGAGGGGCTCCAAAGGGCCTGGAGAGGATGGAAGGACTCCCCTTTTACAGGGAGGAGGGCCTGGCCAGGTGCCCTGGTGTGCTGGGGAGGTAGGCTGTAGGACCTCAGAGAAGTGGCTTTACTCTTTGGGGCCATTTTTCTCACATGTAAAAAGGAGATACATAGCCTGCTTTCCTGTGGACTTGCAGGAGGATGCGTTACAGGGTTTGAATGGGCCCGCGAAGGATTGAGGAGTTTTCAGGATCTGATGATACACACCTTAGCTGGACCCTTTTTAGTCTGCAGACCAGATTCCCACTCCTGATGGCATTTCTCAGAACAGTATACCTTGTCTGGGCTCAGCATTCAGACTCCAAAACAGGGGGCCCTGCCTGTAGCCCATGATCAGCATCCTGCAGGTGCTCCTTGAGCCAAGGGTGCCCTCGTGGGCTATGACTCGGGCCATCCGTGCCTCAGTTTACCATCTCAGCGAGAGGCAGCCAACCTTAGCCTGACCCTGGCCCCTGTGGGGCTGTGGCAAGCACACACGGCAATCATGGTTTGCTGGGGAGGGCGGGCTGTAACGTTAGCCTAAGCAGAAGATAATTGGGAAGGTCAGCCTGCTGCCGTAAACAAAATGCTTTCCGTGACCTGGGATCAATTATTTTTGGATTATCTGCCTCCTCAAGTTCTCTGCCCGCCAACACCCTTTTGTTCCCAGGTTTCAGAGCGGGTTCAGAAGCTGCTTGAATTTCTCTGAAAATGGGTTGGCAGGAAGGGCTCAGATCATAAGACATCATGGAGCCTCTGTTACATGTTTGGAGTTCAGGGGGCACAGAGAGGAGAAAGAAATTACTGTTACTACTCATGGTGCTAATTACTAACGGTGATCATTGCTAGTGTTGACTGGTCCGTGCTAAGTGTTCTCTTGTACCACCTCTTGTGATCATCACGCAGCCTGGTGAGTGAGGGCAGGTGCTGGTCCCCGATGAATGACTAGTCCAAGGTTACGTGGCTGGACCCTTTTCTTTCATTCTTTTTTTTTCTTTTAATTATTTCAGGGTGGGGGTGATTCGGTTTATTTATTTATTTTTAGAGGAGGTACTGGGAATTGAACCTCATGCCTGCTAAGCATGTGCTCTACCACTTGAGCTACACCCACCCCACTCTCTGTTAGTTAATCCTCAGGACAGCTCTCAAAGATGGGAAAACTGAGGCCCAACAGAAGCTCACAGAGGTTCTGGTCACGCAGCTAGTAGATTTCAAGCCCTGGTCTGTCTAACTTGGAGCCTTTTACTACTCAACCACCCTCTCATGCCCCCTATAGCTAGTTGGTAACTGGGCCTTTGACATCTTCTGGATGTGCAGTTCCGCACTCTGGGCTGTGTGTAGATGGAATTTTACTGAATGCCCCAAGGGGAGGGCACTCCCTGCCTAGCTAAGAATCCTTTTGTAAAACTTCGCAAGTGCCTGCGGCACATTGCTGGAATTTTCAGCCAGGATCTGTGTTGGGCTCTGCTGGTTTCGGGTCCAGGACTGGTGCCGAACTCCAGGGCTTCCCAAAGTGGCACTGTGGTAATCGGTGCTGGGGAAGATTCCCCTGGAGAAGTAAAACTGAGAGAGTTTAAACAAGAGCAAGTTTCTCTCTGGTGGAATTTCTGGGGATCCTTTAATGTGCTTCCCGGAAGAGATGCCACAAACTCTTTTCTTCAGAGGAGAATCTTCCGAGACTATGATTTGACAACCTTCTTTGGGAGCATTGGTCTAACCCAGGAATCGGCCAACTTTTTCTGTAAAGTAAATAGTTCTAGCTTTGCAGGCCACGCGGTCTCAGTGGTAGTAACTACAGGCATCCCCCACTTTTTGAAAGTTCGTTTTACGCCACTTTGCTTTTACAGAAAACCTACATTAGTACCTGTTATTCGCTAGCCTGAAAGAAGCCCGAAGAGGATTTTTATTTTTACCAAAAAAAGGCAAAAAGTGAAAATAGCATGCAGCGTTTGCTTTGCTGCAAGCCGTTAAAAGAGGCAGCGCACACCCCCAGGGGTGAGAGGGGGGCCTCCAAGCTCCTTTCCCGGGAACTGCGCTCAGCATCTCGACATCAAGACACCATATCTTTGAGCTGTGTCTGTGAGCATCTGTGCTTTAATCTCAATCTATCTGTGCATTTGTTAGCAAAATATCTCCTCAAGTAATTGCCCCGTCCCTTTAGGCCATTTCGGCTTATGAAAGATTTCAGAGGCCCACTGTAGGGAAAGGCCTATATTCAGTTCAGCCATTTTATTTGGGGGAGAGGTAATTAGGTTTATTTATCTATTGTCGTGCTTTTTTATTTATTGGAGGTGCTGGGGATCGAACCCATGACCTCGTGCTTGCTAAGCATGCCCTCTACCACTGAGCTATGCCCTCCCCTAATTTAGCCATTTTAGCTGGACAGCAGCTACAGACCCTAGGTAGGTGAGTGGGCGTGGCTGTGTGCCAGTACAACTTAATTTGCAAGAACTAAACTGCAGGCCACTTCGGCAACCCCTGGTCTAAGTGGTAGTCTCCAAACTTAGGAGTGCACACTCCTCTCAAAAGATTGTCAGCTCTAGGCTCCATATTTGTACATAAACGTATACATACTGTGCGTACGTGTGTACAT